AAAATTTTAATTATTTGTAATGAGTCAAAGTTAAGATGGTTGCGATATTGCAATAAGGAAAAAGATCTATCCACACGAACAACCTCTAGAGTTTATTAGTCATTCTTCTCAGGGAAATCTGTCTTTCAAATTCAATTGAATCAATGTGACGATTTCAAGTGTAATTTTGCTTGTCTATGAAATAAAGATAATATAAATATTATCTTTTTTTTTAAATGGTAAGGATGAAAAAGCAGCTGTAGCGTCCTGCAGGCTTAGCATGACCCCGAAGACAAAAGTTATCTCTTCTTCGAACTGTCAATTTTTTCTCTTGAAAATGACGTCACTATGAATTATCTCTACAGCCGCGAGCATAAGCGCTATGAGGTTTAAGTCGCGAGTACAAATGTCAAATGAAGACAATTTTTCTCTAACCATTTAAATTTTGTATACTTTTGACAAAACGCGTCATAGAAATATCTCTATTACCCTTGGGGCAGAAGACAAGCGATGCTTTTAATTTAAATACTATATCTTTTTAATGCGTGATTTAAATTTATAGTAATTTTGTGCCATGATAATGTCTCGTGCCTATCGTAATTATTTATTAAGTTTTTACGAAAAAAAACTGATACGAAAGAGATAAAGAACGACGGTACGCGAATTTTGCGAACAGTTTCATCTCTCTGAGGCCGAGTTCCTCAGTAATTTCAAGGCATCCTGTGAATTATAGATTATTTATGCCAGGAACTAGATGAGAATCTAGCTCCCCAAACGTGCACATATATATCTTTGAGGTTCAAAGTAAGTGAAGGAAAGGAATACACGCTTATTTCCCAGAATTTGATCCGTAAATTGGGGTGATAAAGATTGGTGAACATTTGAAAGAACAACAGACAAACAGTAAACAAAACATAAGATAGTTTTTTTCGCTATTTCCTTTTTCGTCAAAATGCGCTTTATATATCATTTATATATAACTATTATATAACTGCCTCTGTGGCCGAACGGTTACCATACCGGACTGCCACGCAGAGGCCCCGGGTTCGATTCCCGGGCCGGGAGAAATATTTGTATGGCCTACATTTATTTCTCTCGTGAGTTTGGGTGTAATTTGTGGTTGTCTATGTGTGTGTCCATGGCACCCGCGACACAGGGTTTCCCTTTACATTATTATAAAGTTTGTGTTGTGAAAAAAAACATAACTTCCCGGGTGTTTATCTTTAATAAGGCTGTAAATTAACATCGTTCAATAATTGCATTAAAATATAAAACGGCAGCACATCAAGCAACACACTGACGGTTCTTGTTTGAATATGGCCTCAATTTGTGTTCATTACCTGTCAGTTTTGTATGAAAAATAATTTAAATGAATTTAACTTCTGCTGACCCGATTTTTTCGTCACATACTATGAAATCACTCTTATAAGAAGCTGAGTTTATCAGCATTAAAAAATAGTCATTTTATTCATTTTGCATGAAAAACATGTTTTTTATAAAATTTGACCAACTTCTGCTGTCGCGATCTTTTTCGTCCCATACAATAAAATAGATCCTTACATAAAACTGAGTTGGTCGGCACTAAAAAATTTTTGATCAGTATTGTTCATTTTTATGGACAACACGCTAAACTAAAACAGTGACTGTGTCGAAATTATTTACACAAAAACCTACCTCAGACTGTTTCAGTGTATCTATGGTTTCGGATTTCCCAATACTGTCCCTTTATAAAAAAACACTCTGTATAGCTTGATGTGTTGTTGACTGTACCCTCAACTTGTACACATGATATTTGATGGACTACAAATATGAAATTGTTGTGTTCCTTTTTGTACCTATATATAATGAAAGCGTTTAAATTAACGTGGTGTGTTTCTTCTTCACAGAACTCCCGTCGGAGAAGCCAACGATAAAGGCTGAGAAAGGCTGGTATGCGTCAGGAGACTCTCTGAAAGCACACTGCAGCTCTCCACCTGCCGACCCACCGGCCAACCTGACCTGGTTGCTAAATGGGAAAGATGTAAGTAAATCTTTGGAGTGAACCCTTAGAACCTTGCGCATATACTGACAGAGGGTTTAAAAAGGCTTTAAAATTTAAGTGTCAAATCATATTTTGTGCAATCGTTACGTAGTGAAGGTTCTTGAAGTCGAATACTGTAGTAATCCGAGTGGCCTAAATAATTTGTATGTAATGATTGCATACAATACTTTCTCTACGAATGAATTAAAATAATGAAACCATTGACTTAAAAATAAATGGACGACGGGTCTAATACAAAAGCCACGAAAAAAATGTCCCAAGTCAACGTATTTAAACGTAGTGACATGTAAAGGAATATGAAAAAGCTAAAACGTTGAATTTAAATTGTAATGTAACTTTTTAGCAAGGACCCGACGTCCCTATAATTGTAAGTCAATGAATGAAACACAACCAATATTTAAAGACAATTTATTTGTAACATTTTGAGGTTTTATTTAATAAAATAAATTGTAATAATTTCACAAATAAAGTGAGGTTATTCATAAACACTGAGACGCGTTTAAGGAGACTCTTTTAAGAACCATAACAGCGAGAACCATAGACAAAATAATTTTGGTTCAGAACTAAAAAGAGCGCCTTTGTGACATGATTTATGAAATTATAATAGACAGATTAAAGTACAGGGAGTAGAAAAACTCATACAAATGCCACTGTATGAATCCGGGAGGGCGATCAAAAATCGTAGTCCATAATTCCTTTATGAACAATTTGGCGAATTTCGAGAGTGTGTCGACTAGGGTAGCATACCTTAATACTTAAAATAACCAAACGGTATTCGCTGAAGGTATTACAGGTTTACGCTCCGTCTTTGTCACATGATGAAGTGGAAACTATGTATGAGGATATCTCTAAAGTCATACATAGCTTAAGCGAAACTGGGCAAACGGAACGGTGATGAGCTGCGAGTGGGGCAATTTGGAGTAGGATCTCGGAACCACCGGGGCTACCTACTGGCCAGCTTCGTGGAGAGGGAAGAACTCTACTTGATGAACTCCTTCTTCAGGAAGTGGGAGCACAGAAAGTGGACCTGGATGAGTTCTGACGGTGCAACAAAAAATGAGATAGACTTCATCATGTTGACAAAGAAGCAAATATTCAATGATGTCTCTGTGATCAACACGATCAATACTGGAAGCGATCACCGTATGGTAAGAGGCATATTGAATCTTCATGTTAAGCTTGAAAGGTCTCGACTGATGAAGTCAACGCTCCAACCAGCATCGATCCAAATTAAAAACCCCAAGAGCTTGCGGCAGTGCCCCTCAGATCTTTGCGATTTAAAGCTCTGAGTGACACTGCAACTGTTATGGACAGGCGTGTAGCTTACCATCAGGCGCACGAGTTGTTCGTCCCGTCACTTGATTATATTTAAAAAAATTGTGTAATTACACTATAATAATGTAAATAAATACAAGCATAGTATAATATCCTACCAGAGCCTATTGTGTATTATTCCGAGAAGAACACTACGCCTAAGTTCATTTGTCACAGGACGTAGCGACGTGATGTCACGTTGTTTGTTACTCGACGTTGTGGCACGTCGAAAGCCGAAGCGTTGCTGCAATTATTCCGTTCTTGAATACAGGATTGTGGAATCATTGGGCTTGATTAATCTAGCAATTAAGTTGGTTGTCAGGGTCTGTAATTAGCTTTCAGGTTTAGTTACGTTTCGAGTAGGTTATTGCCCTCTACTAATATCTGTGCATTTCAGTGGCGAGGTTTGAAAACTTTCCTTGGTAAAGTCGAAGATTTAACTATTTGATAAAACAAAAACACTTACTTTAACAAAAAATTCTTATCCCGTTAAAAAGGCGCCTTGGCGACATTTCAACACAACACTTATTAGCACACAAGGTACTAGTTCACTTCATTTCATAGGTTAACTTATTCTTCACATAAAATAACCATAGCTTTTAATGTAATTTTACATTTCAAGCTGCCCGTTGCGATACAAAAGTTTGTAAACAACCTCATGACTGCAAAATGTTACTATTTTAACTACTTACGAATTGCCATGACCTTCCATATACATTCCTTACGTAGTCCTATTATAAAGAAACACCCAATTAAATATACAAAATAGCAATGAACCATATTTTATAAGATACATTTATTAAAAAATATAACTTAATCTAACACAATATGAGTAAAACAAATATAAATAAAAGTATTATAGTATTTAAATAAGAATTACTAAGGGAATCTTAATTATACATTCTTCATAGTAAAGTTATACATTTTAATATTAGCGTCTAATGTGTAATTGTGATTGTATATAATAAATAGATGTAATTGTATTAATTTGTTATTTATATGTTATAATTTTGTAACATTATTTAAAAAAAGTTTTACATCTGGCAACGATTCTGACATTAAAATAAATTAAACTACAATTTGTTCTAATAAGGTTTAAATTTAAGTGAACACTGTTCCACAATATTATAAAGCGGATATTTGCGAATGTGTGCGTATATTTTAATGGGAGCGGGGTAGCTTTCATTAATGAAGTAGAACTCGCCAATCCGCCGGCTTACCTCGCGCTGATTGGTTGAGATGCATCGGGACAAGTTATTACGCTTTTATAGTCGTCACCAAATAAGAGGCCAAATTTGACACTTGTCATCGTGACGCGAATAGGAATGTGGACTAATTACATCGGTAATCACATTATACGATTTACACGAGAAATTGATTCAAAATTGTAAGAGTTTGTGATTGTTTAGACTGTTTTTCGGTTCACTGTTGTACAAGGGGCCTAAAAGGCCAAATCGTGCAATTCAATTAAAAGCATTTACAGAATTCTTTGCAATTCTGTAGCAATTCCTCATATTTTCGTAAATCCAATTCTTTTGATTTTATAATATTCATAAATGGTTTATTACGAGAATTTAGTGTAAATAAGTATGTTCATCAATAAAACAACTACATAATCGAAATCGAAGTGATCGGTGAAATTCGGCGAGTAATTGCTTACAACACTATTATATAAAAAAAATAGCTTGAGGACAAAACTGTTTTCAGAACGTTTCGGAGTAACTAAAAATGGCGTCTTATTTTGGAATTTGTGCGAAAACAGTACTTCGAATATGTTTTGTCATATTATATAATGTTTGTTTATTGTTTCGATTGTTTGTTTATTGTTTCGTTGATCGCATTCAAAATTTATATCATATGGCCTTCTTTAGCTGTCAAATTTGGCCCCTTATTTGCTGACGATTTTATTATTGAATATTTTGAATAGGTAAATGTTTTCTAAGTGGTGGGGTATGCGCGCTGCCGCTGGTAATAAGTACGCGGAAAATTTTAGGCAAGCCGGTTGGAATCGAGTTATATGGACGCCTGTGGAGGATTGCCTGTTGCCTTTATTAAATTCGCGTAACGGTACAATGCCCTTTATGGTTTATTGTTAATATATTCTTTATTGCACTAAATAAATACATCAGAAATAAGTATTAATTTGAAGTAGGTGAGCAAAGATTACTTAAAAACAGTCATAGTCAAACCACTTTACAAAAAAGATGATAGGGAAGTGAAGAACTACAGGCCCATATCATTGTTATCAGTCATATCAAAAATACATAAGTTCACAATTACAAATATTTTTAGAAAAATATAATATATTAGCATATGCGCAAAAAGGTTTTCGACCAAAAAAAGAATATAAACATGGCTATATATGATTTTATGCAGGAAGTTATATCAAGTGTAGATGAAAGTACGCCAATCTGCTCTATTTTTTGCGATATGACTCAAGCGTTTGATCATGTAGAGCACAAAATACTTTTAGGAAAATTAGAAACCTATGGTATAGGAGGTAATATTCTTAAACTAATTTCATCGTATCTTAATAATCGAAAACAAATCACTGAAATCAGCAACATAAATATCCGTACCAACGCCGAATGTGTCCTTAGATCTTGTAGTAAAACAATTATATATGGCGTTCCGCAAGGTGACGTCTTGGGCCCATTGCTATTCATTTTGTACATAAATAATCTAAAAGTTGTACCGAATCACCACGTTTCTCCCTTTGCCGATGACAGTACAATAACAATTAAGTGTAAAAATAAAATTACTTATGAACAAGACATTAACGAAGCAGTAGAGTCCATTATAACTTGGTTAAAAGAAAATAACCTCAGTATTAATTTTGAAAAAACTAAAGTAATGCATTACAGTCAGCGACAGAATAATAATAACGTCAATGTTAGTTATGACAACATAAGTATAGGCCAAGTTACCGAGACTAGATTTTTGGATGTAATTGTAGATAATAAGTTGATATGGAAAACACATTTTCAAAACCTATGTAAATAATTAAGCATTTCTTCTTATGCCTTATACAAATTGGCTCATATAATTGACATTAACTCATTATTGACGGCTTATTATGGTATAGTGGCTTCACATTTAAGCTATGGGATTATTTTTTGGGGTAATTCTACAGATCGGGATTTAGTATTTAAAGCACAAAAGAAATGTATAAGAGCTATATTTAGCATTTCTTGCATGGACAGCTGTTTGCCCTATTAAAAAAAAAAATATACTAACGGTACCATCATTGTATATTCTAGAATCAGTATTATTTGTCAAAACAAACCCTAATCTGTTCAACAAACTTATGGAAGTAAGACGTAGGAATAGAAGAGATAATGATGCAGTATCTATGATGCCACATAAAACTGCATTTATATCAAAAAGTGTGCTCTGTATGCTGCCAAGATTATATAATAGAGTCCCAAAATCTATCCGTGAATTACATGTAGATTTGTTTAACAATAAATGTAAGCAGTATTTAATTGATAAATGTTTTTATAATATAAATGGTTATATGAATACGAGATGGATTTAGGGCCCAATTATAATTGTTTTTATATCTCGTAAGATTACATAAGATTACAGATGTATTTGACTAATTTATGTTATTATTGACTTTCATTCATTTTTGACATGCGCATATTTTATGGAGGCTTAGAAAT